GGCCCTGCTGTTGCGGCTGCCGCCTCATCAGTTGCTGCTGCTGATGGTCCTGCTGCTGCCGCCGACGGTGCTCCCTAGCCGACACCCCGATTCTGCGGCAGAAGGCTAGATAGAGGGGGTTGGCTGCCTGGTTGGGCTGCCTGACTCCAAGGGATCCGTGGGGCGGCAGTTGATAGCGACGGACCAACCGCAGCAGCAGTGATGCGCTGATAACACAACGGCATGACTACGAGTAGATTGATTTCCCAGACTATGTAGGCTCCCAGACTAGTGCGTGTTCGTTGTTTTTTGCTGTAGAGGATGCGCGCGTACGGATGTTTTGGCCGACGGAGGGGGACCGGCGGACGAAAATTATGTCCTGAGGTAGCCCCCCCCCCCGTCTGTTCAACCTACAGTACATAGTTGCCGTGTTGTTGTGTAGCTTAGCGTAGCGCCCGTGCTCTCGGCAGCGGAACCCTCAGGGGGGCGGCTCTCTCTCTCTAGCGGGGCGCGCGCTTGGGGCCGTCGGTGTAGACACGGTCGTGCAAGCAAGGGTATGCGTAGGTTAGCGTCGACGTGATGCCCAAGCAAGGCCGGGTTCATTCGTTCGTTCTTCGTTCTCCAGACAAATACCACCACCGTAGGTGACGTAGGATATCGCACCCCCTAGATCGATTTTCATTTCTACAGCAGTATACGCCAGGAAGAGCGGGGGTGCCCCGAAACTATCGGCGTTTGATGTACAATTCTCGTCGAGAGCTTTCCGAAAACCTACCAACTATCGTTTTGGTTTTGTCAACATCCTCCTCTTGGTCGTGGAGTAGTCGAGCTTTGCAATTGGTTCAGGGGGTGTGATGTCTTACGTCACCTACCTGCGGTCGGGGTTGGGTCCGGTCTCTCGGTATTTACTATTTAGTGGCTTCTTTCGGCCACGTTCCGTCAGAAGGGCAGTGGGCCCGACTTAGGACAACCAACGTCTGTTTGGTTCTGTTCTTGACGTTTTGCGAGTAGTGTCGAGCACTGCAGGGTCCGGGTGCTTGTTGGAGACCCGGCAACACAAGTAGAGGAAACCTCTCCTTCTCGGCTGGAAATGGTACCACACCAGGGATGACCTTCACGACGATAGAAGAGCCGATCTTCACCGAGGGAATGGTAACTAACGATTGATTGTCAAGGAATGCACCCATCCTGCATTGCATGCACTCTTCGGTCGTCATCGGCGTTGTCGTTGCCGTCGTCGTGTTGTATTTACCTCCTCCCCCGGCGCCTTGACGATCGATTTACCCCCCAGAGGTCTAGGTTTGGATACCAAACAAACTCAGACATTATAACACGTATTAGTACGTCCCGCGTCCAACACTATCTGCACGAGCGGCATTTAGTAGTTTTCGACGAGTTGTATGCATGCATGCAAACAAACAACTACCACCAGGCCGGGGGTACGGTAGATTAGCCCCGGGCCAAGACTCGAAGCCCCGCACGCCTTATTGTCTCCTCACGAGGACAGGAGTCGAAAGGGCGAATGACGAGCGAAGCGGGACGCCGTGATGCCTGCGGCGTTTGGGTCACACCGGGCTACACACTATTTATTGAACGAGCCCCCTTTATTCGCGATAATTTCGAAGGAGGCATGCATGCATGCGTACCTCAAGAAATGGTAGTGGAGGGAGTGCGTGCGGTCCTCTCTTCTTCTTTCTCTACCATTCTTTCCTCACGAGGCGGCGGCAGGGCTTGCCTTCAATGTCTCACGGACAACGAGAGAAAAGAAGAGAAGAAATAACGACTTTTCAGCAGTTGGTTCTTCATTTCTATATTCCTTTTACAACACAACTTATCGAACTTTTTGCGTTTCTTTTCATTCCACAACAAGAACTGTTCTTGCGACTATTTTCATTCCAGAATAAGAGCACATCAGATTCGAACCCACCCGCAGCGGCTATAAAAACTTGAGCAATCAGAATGAGGGCGGCGGCGAGTCGCCAACTGATGATTTCACCACCTCCGGCCGGCGCGACTGGCTTAAAAAAAAACACAACAGAACACACACACACACAAAAAAAAACAAAAATATCATGGAGTGAACGGCGATTTTTTAAAGAACGCGCGCAACGCACACCCGCAAAGTATCATTGTCCAATAAAAGCATAATTTCTAAAGAGGAAAAACACTAGGTAGGCCATAACGAAAGTCAGCCGAGCCCCCCCTGCCCCCCCCCCCCCCCCC